TTTGCATGGTAGCATGGAGCGAAACTTTTCTCGTGTTAAAGCCTTGTTCGTCATGAGTTTCTACGCATATTGCATTGAGAAGCTCGCTTGTATTCTTCTTTCTGGCAGTAAATGTATATGCTTGTAGTGGAAAATGTATATAGTGTGGGCTTAGGGCTCGAGCTATTCATGGAAGTTTAGCTCCAAACATGACCTCAAACCTATATTTGAGCATTAGTGAATATATTGGTCGCATGAGGAAACTTGTAGCATGTAAGTTAACTCGTGTAGTGAGCAATTCATATGCGTTCACTACATCACGTACCAAGTGGGCATGGTAAACAATGAAACCATGAAATAAAAATGTGTGATCATGTATAGAGCGAACAATGCAAGTCTTAATTATGTAGTGACACTTAGACACGATAAGTATGCGTGGAGAACAAATTTACGCGGGCTTCTGCACTTTCTTGACAAAAGAAACTATAACACTCCAAATTAGAACTTAGGTGAATTAATGGCATGGCATATATAAACTTGATAGTACTTTGTATTATAAGCATGCTTTATATGTATAACGAGCAATTCATGCATTAAAGATAGGCATGTGATTGACTTCGTAAACATATAGTAATGAAATGAAATCAATGGAAGATATGGTTTAAGGATTTTCTTATCTCTTAGGGTAAACATAGGTGATGCGGCTGAGGTCTAGCAGTGACAGCGGCCAACAGGAATAACTTCCTATCATGATTGTCTTCTGGACAATCGGCTTGTTTTCTTGAATTGGTGGCCATGAGACCCTTTGCTTTTCTAGTGCTAGGAAGAACACAATAGCCTCGATGCCTTATTTTCTATTCTTCCTTTTGTTTTAACTTCAAATTTGATGATGAACTTGGCTTAATGATTGAGATTCTTGTTTGTGCCATGATCAGATGATTTATTGCATGAGTGAGCGGTTCTCTATATGCTTTGAAATGCAGTTTGACCCTTTGCTTGTTTTCCTAGGCAAGGTTGGCCAATTTTGTTACCTTGCACCTTGCTCGTGAGTTTTCTTGGGGAAAGAGGGAATGATATAAGCTAGTTTCCCTTGGGAAATAGAATGCGCTAGGATTAACATTATGGAGACATGTGTATGGTCCCGCCTAGTTAATCTGCATTAGGGTATCTCTCTCACATTTATGGTAGTAATCATATCCGATAATTTATTTGACTTACGCTATCTATCTGCTGCTCTAGGAGCAAGTCAGAGACAAGGAAGGACGAGAAAAATCTTCTCCAGTAAAAATTCGATCGAATTTTATAAACTTCAAAATTGTACCTATTCATGGACTTAAATGTTTCAATCATAGTTTGCTTCAGGCAAGATCATTCTTCATGATTAAACAATTCGAAGAATGAGTCAATGTGTCATGGATTCCTCGTTAAGGAGGTATTTCCATATGTAGCGGTTCAAGCATAAGTCTTCAAATGAAGATCATGACAGACGCTTATTCAGCTCTTCTATGCCATTATTGGTTTCAATGGTTTCTTAACTTAATGACAGTCAAGTGGAGTTACAGGTCTTGTGCCCGTATAAAGTAGCTTTTGTGAGAAACGTCCAAATCAGTGAAATCAAACTCGTGATAGTTTGTCAATCCATTAAATGGAGGGACAAGATTGTGATTGGTGTTATGGGAAATAAAACCTCTATAAGCATCACAGTTAGAACATTTGGGTTCTAAGACATGGTTTACATGAAAAAATTTGGGATTCCATGGGTGTATTGTTTTATGAAAACTTCAGATTTCAAAGACACTAAATTTGAACCCACAGTTTCGAGTTTAGTGTGAACTTCCGAATCATAAAAGAAGGTACCTATAAGAACACATAATACAATATACAACTAAAGTGTAGTAAATTTGGATTGCTTCAGGAACTCAAGTGTGAGTCGCTTCGGGAATACGAAACGATGTCAACAGTTCAAAGAACATAAAAAAAAAAAAAATTAAAAAAAAAAAATCATGAATGTCCAAAAGTGGACTTTAGGCTAATAATTTTTGTTAACGGACTGATAATCACTTTTAATTAATTCAATAGATCGAAATCATTTAGGTTCGATAGTACAAGTAAAATAATGACGTACGGGTCATATTGGCTTTGGTTGGCATATGGCCAAGCATTTACGAAAATATAGCCTAGTATAACTTTAGCCTAGAACACCCCAAAAATATTTGAGTATGGCTAAGTAGCAGGGGTCGCCAAATGCTGCGTTGGGTCGAAAAAATATCGCAGCCTTAGCAAAAGTTGCTGGCTGCCAGTGCACGGCTATACAGCAAGGGTTGCATGCCTTTGGGCTCTCGGGACAGGGGCTGAGACGCGAGGCGGGCTTGGCAAGCAGGCTTTGTAGGCTTGTTAAAGCTGGCCGGGGCATTAGGGTAAGCCCAGCAGCACAAGGCTGCTAGAAATGGGCAGAGCAAGGACGAAGCCCAGCAAAGTTTGATGCCTTCTGGTGTGGGCTGAGGTTGAAGGCCCAGAAAACTGGAATCCAGGCCTTCAGCTTGGTTTTTCACACACGCAGCATAGCCTAGAAGGCTGTTGCAGTCCAAACCCAGACCTGAGCTGCTGGCATGGGTTGGCTTCGGCTCGTCAGCGCGGCACTAGGCCTCAGCAAAGAAAAAAAACCCTTTTTTTTTTTGTTTTTTTTTTTCCGAATCGTAGGGTTTTAGAGAAAACCCTAAAGTGCTTCTATTTTCTTTCGTTTCTTTGACTCACAAATTCCACATAGCAAATTTATAATTGCGTTATGCATGAACATATATATATATATATATATTGACAAATATATGAAATATACAAAATATATATATGTGTGTGTGTGTGTGTGTATTATATAAAGATAAATATAAATGTAAGGGGTTTATGCATCATGGTCATTAAAAATATCAAACTTGCATTTTAGGAGAACCTAATTGACAAAAAAAAATTGAGCCTTTAAATTTGTAGAAGTTCCTTCTCGGAAAGCCGGAGTTTCATCTCCACGGCGTTGTATCACATTCAACACAGAAAAAATTAAATTTTATTACTAACATGTAGATCAATTTAATAAAATAATAATTTAATCATAAAAAGAATGATTAAAAAGTAGTACTCCCCTGATTGAAGATGGAAAAATGTCATTAGTAATACTCCCCAACAAGATTACAACTCTACTAGGATAATATCTAAAGATAAGATATGGTAGAATCTCATAAGGACATCCCAAGATAGAATAGGATTTGCACGATTACAGTCCTAAACAATTAAGACTGCAACATAACTTTCATTTTGCTTTTTATTTTTTCAATAAATTGTAAGGTTCTTATTGAATACTTAGATGAACACACATTATATGCTTATTTCTCATATTTTCACGAAATTATATATGTTTTCAATATGAGCAAACACTTATTTATACGATATATAATAAATTTACTTAAATCCACCTAAACCGCCTAAGCCAAACCTTGGCTATTCTATCTTTTATTTTATATTAGTTTGTAACAAAACATCATTGATTTTTCGTACGAGTTAAGATTAATTATAACAATGAAGTTTGCTTTGTCTATATATTGAAAAAGAAACTTATGTGGGCCTTAGTTTACTACTGAACTTTGTTGAGTGTTGCTCCACCATCACTCAGAACTTGCCATGTATTAAGTCAAATTAATATAAAATTCTCTTTATTATCTCAAACTCACCTCATCCCTCTCTCTCTCCCCCAATCCCCACTAACCCAACCCATTCATTAAATCAATGATCAATTCATCATTGCCTAAATGCTTAATTGGATTAATAATCCCCACGGTGATAGGGTATTTATAGTTGGAAGATAGATTCTATGGTAAAAAAATAAGGATTTAAGCCCCTGCGGTGAAGTCAGTTAGGATTTATACTCAAAATTAAAAATTTCGTCAACTTTCTGTAATTATTGGTACGTGCACCAGCTCCACGGGCCAACAATTGACAGAGAGTTCTGTTTTAGCCTAATACGTGTGGCTCACAACAATTCTAACTCTTATTCTTAGTAAGTAAACATGCAAATATTAACTTACAATTACCTTGTGATATTTTAGCTTTTGTAAAATTAATTATAAATTGTTTAAAAAAAAATAATTATAAGTTTAAAACTTATTTTTATTTTAATATCTGTGCTAGAGAATGTGTCTGCTAGACGGAAAGATATCAATGGAAACACATGAAAAAGGAAGGAAATAATCTACTACGAACCTCTCCCAAAGTAAACAAGATCTTGTTTCCTCCTCAATGTCCTCATTGATATTGAAATGCAAACAAGTAAGTTTACATGCTCCTACTTAAACAAGTAGTCCATCTTAATTACTAGTATAAATAGTTCCTGCATGAACAATGCAGCACGTAATACTTTGAACTCTAAGTCAAATTTTTTGGTCCAAAATTATACGAGTTTACTCTGGTCTTTAACCGGTACCATATTATTGTCTTTTTGTCTATAAGAATTTCACGATTAGTTTGTCGATTGATATCATAATTTAAAGGAGTGGAAAATCTTGACTACAAAAAATATGGGCAATGCGCACAAAAAATTATATGTGCTTATAAGGCCTAAGGGCACTAATATCCTTAGACTAATAACAACGGTGTAGCAACCAAAATCTTATATGTGCCCTCTACAGACGTGCCCTTTGATCAGAGGGCACAATACTATATTTGGTGCTCAATGATGTCAGCACAAATAAAATGCTTTTGTGCTCCATTCTGGCAAGTTGTCAGATTACTTTCCCATCCATGTTAACACAATTTTTATTAAGGGTGTGATATCCACACATTCTATTTTACTTCTCACACATCTTTTTCATTTTCAGCCGTCGGATCTGATGAATTGAAGAAGATCAATGGATAGAAATTATCAAGGGATGTGTGAGAAGTAAAATGGGGTGTGTGGATAGCACACCCCTTTTTATTATTGTGCCCAATAGGTTAAATATTAAAAAAAATAAAAAACATAAAATTCAAGTATTACAAAATAAAATCAAATAGTAATACCATTGGTAAGAAATATTCAGCTTGGTTTTACATGCACGTCCAAGATACCAATAAAACTATGGGTCGGGCTAAAACAAACAGGAATTCAAAGAATATCTCAAAATAAGCCATTTCCTACAACGTTTAACAAACAGGAATTCAAACAACTTCGGAGATTAGTAGTTGGTCTGGAGTTTAATTGATAGAACACATAAGTGTAAAGGAAAAAAAATGTACACCTCGCCATGGGCATCACAATTAACTGTAAGACATAATCAAATCTTATCTTAATCTGAAATGGCAAAGCTTTTTATAATACCCAGGCCTGAAAAGTAAAGTAATCCCAAACAATGTAAGCACGAACCCAAACTTTAGAAAGCTACAAAACGGTCTACACATGTGGACATGCACTTGGGAATAAAAATAAAAATAATAAAATAAATACATTTGGCACAACTATCAAGCCCCAAAGAATCAAACACCTCAAAAAAAAAAAATAACAAAAAAAAAAATCTACATGTTCAGAAATACAATAAAAGAAATTTGAAATCGGAATTGCAAAATTCATAAACACTTAGCCCATTTTTCTTCCTTTCAAAATTCTACATATTAATCTCAGACCCTGTTTCCTATAACACCACAAACACGCCAAATAAGAGTAAGGTAATAGGACGCAAATAATTAAAACTCAGACACTGTTTAACCCATTAAAAACAAAACTTAAATTAAGAAACAATTGAAGAGATCTGATATCAACACCCTTACCAAGAGTAAGGTAATAGGATGAGAGCAATTAAATCGAAAATTCAAAAATAAAAAAACAAATTAAACTAAAAATTACCCATTAACAAAATGGAAAAAACCAACCCATTGCTCTCGGAGTGACCACAACAAAATCTCAGGTCAAGTATGGACGGTGTGCCGTCGGCTAGTCAAGTAAGAACACGCGAGAAGGCGGCTAGTCTAAATGAGTAGATCTCAAATCGAGTACGAGCAAGTGGAGGTGAAGTTGTTGATGGAAGCGGGGCTGAGACAAAGAAGGAAGATCCATCCACTATAAGAGAAGGAAAGTCGAGATCTATGACCAGGAAGTGAGATGCGGCGAGGGACGTCCTCAAAATGAGCCAAGGAAGAAGAGAGAGAGAGAGATTTGGGATGTAAAGAGAGACAGCCTGGGGTTGAAGAAAGGCTCGGTTTGATTGGAAAGCGGCGAAAGAGAGTGAGAAAGGAGATGTGGGAGGAATTGAGAAGGAGGAAGGATTATCTCCCTTCTTTTTTTCCTTTTCTTTCCTCTTTTTTTTATTTAAACGATAACGGTTAAGTTACGTTAACATCTTATATTGTATATTCAAATGAGTTAAATGCACTCAATTATATTGTTTTGATTCTTACGCATCAATACTGGAGTTACATGAAAAGAAGTGAAAAATGACATTTACAAGTGTTTAGAGTATTTCCAGTAGAGCAAGAGTCTAATTGCACCAAGACTTGTGCGTTATAATAAGAAGAAACTGCAACGGTTTTGGATATCAAATGGACATGGAAACGCTATTCAATGGATTTGAGGAGAGACATAGTTACTAGTTTTATTATTTCTGTTATTTTTTATTTTATTTAATAAGAACTTAAAAGTCCATTAGAGCTAGGATTAGTGGTCATTTATTTGGCCTTTTTTTACTTACTCTTCCGATTCTTGCCGTGAGGTTTTATAAGGAGATTTATTCTCATTGTTTTTAGGTAGGAAGCTACCCAAAAAAAAAAAATAATAAAAAAATAAAAAATAAAAAACTAAAACAAAAACAAAAACAAAAAACATAAAAAAAAAAAAGAAAAAAAAAAAGAAAAAGAAAAAGCACAAATCATTTTGAGGAGGGGGCTGCGGCAGAAAGTAGAAGAGGGAACACTACAACAAAAATGGGCTAAGAACACAATTGATTTGTGCCCTTCTCATTTTCATTCACAAATATATATTTGTGCTTTTAAAATTCCATTGAGCACCAAAATATCTCAAATGTGCCCTCTAACATAAAAGCACATAGTTTGTGTCGGGCATTTGTGCCTATTAAAATTTGACCACAAAACATTGTGTCTAGCTTGCATGTCAGAGATGGAATTTTTTTTTATTAATTTACACAGACACAATAAAGGCTTTTGTGCCCTCTATTTTAATGTATTTAAATAAAAAAAATATGTTTTTGTGTTCTTTACATTTACTTTTTCCTATTCCCAACTATTTTTCCCTATTCACAATTTGTGAAAATATCTAGTTGCAATCATCTTGAATTATTAGTGAGGCATTTAGATTGACATTGTGTGTTTTCCTTTGATCAAACTAGCTCCTTAAAATGTGGCACCATTTAGATTATCATAAGCCCTTTTTTTATAAAATTACGTTAGGCGCCATTGCATTTAAATAAATGGACCACAAATCTTGAAAAATAGTGATTGATATTTCTATATTTCTGGAAATTAACTGTTTAAGTCATCGATATTTTTGAACGTTGTGTTTGGTTTTGTACATACATGTTAATAGTTATCACATATTGTTCATGCAATTTTCTCTGTTTTTTTTTTCAATTTTATTCTCACATCCTACCATATAAATCAATGTAAAAATGTCAACAAAATTATGAAAATGTACCCATAGTACCTATAAAACAAATGTACGCAATTTATTTGTAATACCTTACGTATTTTTAGATGTATGATTTGGTTATTTATTTTTATATGATTATGTGGAACTCGTTGGAAAACAAATAAGATGATGGGTAATTTCATCTTTTGTGGGACGTTCGAGTTCAAGACACCTAGTGATAAATATTATATTTTATTTAAATAATATTTATCTTAATGAACGCGTGGTCACAAACGGATGTGAATTCGAAGTTAGAACAAGTCAGTTACAAATTTTTAAAATTAGAAGGCAAAATGGTAATTTTGGGAGGGAGTATTCTAGAAGCCAAGGGCTTCTCTCATTTTACTTTCCCAGCAGGCTACTGCAGCAGGGACCCACCCATGTGGGTCTTCACCCTTCCCACCTGGTCATGTATATATAATTATTTGTTGTATAGACACAAGTACGTATATAATTATTTTATAATTTTCTAATGGGTTTTTGTGTACTATGGGACCCACCCACGTGGGTTTTCACCCTTCTCCGTGCTTCTATTCCTCTCTACACGCCATCACTCCTCCGTCTCCCTCCTTCACGCAATCCTCTCTCTCTACTTCTTCACATTTTTCTCTGTCATCTCCCTCACCATCTCTGTGCTCACTGCACAGAAAACCGCAGCATCCATCTCCATTTAACTAGCCATTCCGGCGAACCTTGCCACCACCCAAACACTACACTGCCACCCTCGCTCTCTCGTAATCTTTCTGTCTCTCCCTCTTGGCTTTTTCCTTGACATAGAGAAGCACATAAGCAATGACGGCGGCAGAGCTGGTGATCTCTGGCGAGGCAACCACTAGCGTCACCTTCCTCTCCTCACTGCAGACTCCCCATTACCTTTTGCTTTCTGGAAATCGAAACCGACGCGACGAAATGACAAGCTCCGTCGCGGCTTGACTCCCCGGCAAGATTTTCTATTGAATCTAGTATGAGTGAGTCTCGAAAAAACCTTAGATAGGTTCTTTAAGTTGTTTAGAGATGTTTTGCATTGCATGCCTGATTTGGTTAAGTTTGGATGCAGTTTCAACTCAGGGGATAAATTACCTAGATTTCTAGCGAGGGCTATGATTTTTAGGCTGATTTTACGATATCACCCGCCACCCAATGGCCCTAAAGAAGGTAAAATTCAAATAATTACCTTTATAGCTTTGTTTTAGCTTATGAATTATTGAAAATGGTTGTGATTTGGCCCAAAACAGACTCTGAAACCTTTGGCGTGGCTGCAGGTCGCACTATCGCTGCGTGTGGCACTGTTATGGATGGCGCGTGGAGCACAGACACCTCCACCGGAAGGATGACTGCCTGAAGGATGAATATACGTTTTCAAAAGTTTGTTTCAGATTGTAGGGTATTTCAAATTTGTTATTTTTATTTTTTATATATTTAATTGATAGGGCACAATTACAAAAATTGTGCTACTGTGAATCTGAAATGTCATCTGACACAGGTGTCAGAACAGGGCACAATATAAACCTTATTTGTGCTCAACTTTTTTAGCACACATGGGTGTATCGTGCCTTCTAATCAAAGGGGACGCCTGTATAGGGCGCAAATACAAATATAGTTGCTGCATTGTTGCTATTGGTCTGTGGGCACAATTGTTGGTGCTTTTTGGCCTTAAGGGGCATTGATAATTTATTGTGCACAGTGGCCATTTTTGTTGTAGTGGAAGAGCTTAGTTTATTTTTCCCTTTGCTAGGGCATTGTTATTATCATGTTTTTCTTTTTTCCTAGCCTAATCATGAATACTTAATTGCCTAGTGGCATTGTTACTATCCAGGTTTTCTTTTTCTTCTTTTTTATTTACTTTTTTCCATATTGAGTATCTATTGCTATTCATAATGCGTTTGATTTTATTTAGATAATTGATCACCATCTAGATTTCAATTAAGTTGATTTCATGCAATTAACTTGGGTTTAGCTTCTTGCAATTGATACCATAAACACTTATTTGTAGATGCCATGCAATTAGGGTTTGTGTGATTTTCTAACGATTTCCATAGAGCTTAATGAGTTCTTACCTGTTTAAATTCATCTAGATGTCATAGAGAGTTAACAAGTAAGGATACTTTTAATGCAACTAGATGCCATGACTGTTGAATAATTTAGGAAATTGATCTTTAATATTGGAGAACTACTCGAGCATAACATATTAAGAGAATTAAGTAGAGTTGGTTACGGTAAATTCGGATGCCCTAGGTCATATTTTCTTATGTTTTCAATTTATATTTACATACATTTTATTTTCAAGCTTTACTTTTATTTAAGTTAAATTCAAATCATCATATATTTTCCGTTAAATCTTGGTAATTATAATTTGTTTCAATCTAGTTAGTAGATTTTTAGAATCAATTTGATCTATGTGGGACGGTATATGTGCTTATGTTATACTTTCATCGGATTCATATACTTGCGAACACTAAAATTCGAGACTTAATGAGATTAATTTTGGTCATCTAATTTTCGCAACAAGTTTCTTCGTTAAGAATTCAATTATGCTTATACTGAACACATTTCAGCATCTCAACATTGTCCAATTTATTCCAGTCTTTTACATGAATAAATGAAACCCATACTACATAAACAGAAATAACTAGTAGCCTGCAAATTTTTAGCTCTTTTTTTTTTTTTTTTTTTTTTTTTAATTTGTAATTTACAATCCTTAAATAAATCCTCAAAGCTACAACGCCTTCCATTTTTAATTCCAATGTAGTGCAAACTGTCCATCCACTTTTTTTTTTCTTCTTCTTCTTCTTCTTCTTCTTCTTCTTCTATATTAACACAAGCCCAATAGCACAATCTCTGTAATACTTTCTGAAAACAATAAAGGATAGGTACATGGTCGGTCCTGAGAATTTGGGGACCCTAGGCGAGTTTTCGAAATGGGGTCCTAATATTCTATGATTTTTGGTTCTTTGTACATTGATATATATATAAAAAAGAATTTGCTAAATACATATTCTATTTCCACGTCCAATATCATTAAAAATTAATATAAAAAGAGCACAAATATACAAACATTACTTAAACATTAAACTGCTTAAGTTTTTAGACTCAAATGTAATAAATGTTTGTAGTCAAGAGTCTAAGATTGAGAGTGAAGAACAATAAAACTTGATGATCAAGGGAGTAAAGAACAATAAAACTTGATTGATGAGTATAATAAATTCAACAACGCTATTTGTTTCTCTTATGTTTTTTTTTCATAAAATCAACATCACACTAATGAATCGAATACTAAAACAATCCATTGAATAAAAAGCTATTGAAAAGAAAAATATAAATTCAAAGTTTTGAATACATTAAAGTACAATCTTCAAGACCATGTGATAGTTGATTTAAAAATTTGATAAAAATGGGGAGATTGGGAAGTTGAAATAAAAAAAGAATGCACTGTGACTTGAGTTTGTTTTGAACTCAACACTCCAAAGAAAAAGAAAGCCAAACATTTCCACTGCACCAACAAATAAATTATGATATCTCTTACTTTTTTTGTATTTATATGTTATTTATAGGATATAAAAAATTTTTGGGGACCCTTTCGAAGTGGGGGCCCTAGGCAGGTGCCTACTTGGGCTACCCTCAGGGCCCGTCCTTAGGTATTACGCATAAGAGCTCAACTCCAATATTGGAGCATGGTAGGGAGATATGGCTAACAAAGAAAAGGCTTAATTAAGGATCAAAGGGCAACTAGGGATAAAATAAGCATATGAGGTAGCATGAAAGGCTCAAACGATCGAAAAAGAGCCTATATCATTTCCAAGTTCTTAAATGGATTGGTGAATGAACCAAGAGGTATGAAGCAAGTTCTAGAGATACAAGTAAAATTGAGATCATGCGCACAAGAACAAATGAGATTGATACATAGTGGTTCAATCATGCGCATAGGCTCAAAAACTCACAAGGATTATATAAACTCTCAAAGTTCTCATTAAAAGCTATAAATCATGCTCAAGTTTCACACCAACAAGGCTATGTGTAGGTGGCAGAACCACATGGAGGCCAGGTTAGGCCTGGTCCTATCCTAAAACTCTTAACGTACATACATACACCAACAAGGCTATGTGTAGGTGGCAGAACCACATGGAGGCCAGGTTAGGCCTG